CGCCGTCTCGTCGTCAGACCCCACGGTCTCGTAGGCAAGATCTCACATCCTTGGTCTTGTCTTTACTATTTTTGATATACTGTTAATTAAGTATATGCAAGATCTCACTTCTCTTTGACTCGCCTTTACAATTTTGATATACTGTTAATTAAGTATATGCAAGATCCCGTTTTCCCTTGACTTGTTATTTCATTATTTATATCCGTTATTAATTGATCGCGTAGATTAGACTGTGATATGATTAGCTATAGTGTATATTGTGATTACCTGCGTGGGATTGGTTGACATGAATGGTTGTGTGAAAGCTTGTGTTTTATCACCTAGTTATCCAATAGAAGAGACTGTACATGAAGACGACTTCTGTTAAAAGTATGATTTATAAGCGTGCTTTCAAGCATGGCTGTACCCTTGATATCGATATTTCGGTATAAGGTTTCCTTGTTTATTACTACTATAGTATCGACTAGACGATGCACCCTTGATCGGACATGTTACGGGTCACGGTTATTTTTCATAGTTTTTACAAAAGTCGTTCCACGGTAACTCCGTGGTAGTGCACAATATTTCATGTACAGTTACTTAATTAAACTGACAAACATGGGGATATAAAAGGGGAATTGGACGAAGAATATAACATTTATATAAACGGGCATATGCGCTTTCTTGATATTGTGAGTTATATATATACTTGGGCCGGAGAGCCAGATTTGACTTGAGGGTGGCCCCCGGACGACTTTACGGGGACCCGATTATATATATGAAAATATTCTTCCCCAATTCAAATAACATGTAAAACAAGAATAATATGCTTGCGTGTCTTATGATGGACTTTGTTAGTTTTGTGAGATGTAGACTAGTTGTATTCTGATCATACATAGATCGGGATTAATAATTAATTATCTACAATTTGAGACATAAGGTATATATATGAGGGTTTCCTTGTTTGGATTATTTCGCTCGACGTACTACGTCTCAAGTTATAGATAATTAAGTATTAATTCCATCTAATTGTGTGATTTGGATACTTGGATGATTACCATGTTGGCTAGCTGCGTGATCTTGACACTTGGATGGTTTTCTTAGATTCTTCTGATGATTTTATTCCGGTGATAGATTGCATTTAGATTATTAGTAATTCATTTGCAAGTTATTATTATTATTATCACTATTTTTGCTTTGGTCGTTCGATCGTTCCTATTTCTCTCTGTGGGATCTTGCCGTGTGTCACGCACACGCTGACGTACACCTGTTTTTCTCTGGTGTACGTCAGATTTAGGAGACGGACAGGTCCAGTTCGGAGTCGTATATGAGCCAGAGGATTCTTCGCAGGAGTATCTTGAAGACGGTGTACCAGAAGAAGCTGAAGCTTAGTTAGTGGATCTTAGTTTTCCTTTTATAGCATTTCTTTTCGCTGATTTATTGTATTTTATATTTTCTAGTATTTCGTTCAGATTATGTTGTATAAGGGCATATTTGACCCGAATATTATGTCTGGGATGATGTTCAGTTGTGATATGTATATTTTCTGTTCTGAGTTGTTTATTATATTCTCGCTACTGTGATCGGGGACCTGTGCCTTTGCATTTATTTCTTGACGCTTAGCGTATTAGATTGAGAAGACGGGGTCTAGTACTTATCTCTCCTCAGTCTAATACGTCGCGGGCTTGCTCACGTCCCGATTCCCCGGTATTTTGGGAAGCGGGGCGTGACATCCTCGATCTTTGTTTCCATTGGATTTCTTCAGCTTTAGCCATAGAGAAGAGGTGATCTTTAAGAAGGATCCTAGATTTGATTTCATCAACTGAAAGAGGTCTATTTTCTTCAAGATGATTTAATTTATCAATCTCAGATAATGCTCTAGATTTCTGGTGGGAAGAAGAGAGGAAAACATTTTTTTCCCCACCATTTTATTCTCCTCCGAATGAGTTTAATTTTGAATGGAAGGGCAACGGGAGAACCATCATTGGCTGAGAAAGAAGACCAGCAAGTGGAGACGTAGGAGAGAAAAGAGGGAAAAGTGAACCAAGATTTTTCCAACCTAAAGATATGGGTAGGGAAGGGGCCTCTAGTATCAAGAATAATAGGACAGTGGTCAGAACATGATGATTGATGAGCAAACTGAATTAACAATGGGAATTGGGATTCAAAGTCTTGAGATATAAAAAATCTGTCAAGCCTGGCCAGCACTGGGTTAGCTCTAAGATTCAACCATGTAAATTTTCTGCCACTAAGGGGAAGATCTATGAGATTCAAGGAATCAATGAGATTTTTGAAAGAGGATATATCTCTGATAGATCCAGACCTACCACTCCTTTCTTCTAAGCTAAGAGACATATTGAAATCCCCAAAAACCACCCAAGGCTGAGATATGGAGAGTTTAATCCTAGATAGTTCACACTAGCAGACCTCTCTATCTTCTTTATCAATGAGAGCATATACAGAGGTGGCTACAAACTGCCAATTCGTGGGTTTGTGGATGAAAGTGGCAGTTGTAGTGAAAATACCAGAGGATGAAGAAATACAAGATAAAGAGCTCTCTTTCCAACCCATCAGAATACCTCCCCCCCGGGTATCTGAGGCATCTAAGGAGATCCAAGAAAAAGAATTGCTATTGCCCAAACTACTCAAGATTCTGAGAGATAAAGATCTAATCTTAGTTTCTTGAAGACCTACAAGATCTAAGTTAGCCGACTGGATGCATTCTCTAACTAATCTACGTTTGATGGGGTTGTTTAACCCTCTAACATTCCATGAACTTATCTGCATAAAGAACAAGAATACTGGCAACTAGGAGATAACACGAAAAGGAGACAAAGGATCATTTCTCGACTTCCCTACTCTGGAGCTCTAGAAGATCATTCGGATCCACTGGCTCCTGGATACCGCAATTTACAGCTATTTCATGCAGATGATTTAAGTTCAAATCTCAATTAGCTAAAGAAGAAGAGGGTTGGGGGTTACCCTTGGAACCTCCGTGGGGGAAAGTCCTTTTCATAATTGCCAGGTGTCTTCTGTGGGGTAAATAGCCAAGCATTCTCCTAGATGGCTTCTTCTTAGCTGATCTCCTGACATGCTCGAAACTAGGAGGCGGATCTGATGAGGATACAATGTCCATAGAATCGGACGCACTGATAGAGAGGAGGGGTGACTGGTCTGCATGATGAGGAATAGCAGCAACAAGACGATCCCATGAATCTTTGGAGATCTGAATGGGGACCCCTTTGAAATTAACATTTACAAAGACATCCTGAACCACCTACTTCTCCCTAGGAGGGGGGATTTGAGGAGGAGGAGAGTGACTAGGGTAGATAGGTTCATCCAAAGAGACAATTGGATTTTTGCCTTTGTTAGAAACTCAAGAGGGGGGAACAGCTGGGAGAATGGAGGGCCCCGCCGCTGATGACTTGATGCCCTCTGAAACCTGGGGATACAGGTTAGGTGGGGTGACTGAAGAAGATGATGTCATCCCTTCTAACCGAACAAAATGCTCAAAGTATTCCCGACATTTACCTTTCTTGGCCGGGAGGGGCTTCCCCACCGAAAGATTCATTGAGCATTCCATGATGTGAATATCATCTGGAGAAGGATAGCGGAATGAGATTGATCTTGGAATCTCTGAAATATCCCTGACCTGAAGCATGACTTTGCACTCTTTGACATTAGACTTAATCAGAACATCATCAGATAGTGCAATAACTTCCCCCACCTCCTCCAACAACTTCATAAGGAAATCTAGGTCCCATAGGTGAAGAGGTAAGTCGGATATCTTAACCCATGCATAAACAAATTTAGGAAGGGCCTTTTGCCCCTTCTGCTCATACCACGGCGTGAAAACACCACCAAAAGAGCCCATATCAAAAAAAAAAAAAAAATCCTTAGAGCAAGCAAGGACAAGGGTATCACTGTCAGGGAACTGGATGAAATATTGAGTAGCTGAGGAGCGTCTAATGGAGAAAGTCCACCTGGCGACTTTGAGATGAAATTCCAAGTTTTCTACCAGTTCTTGCAAAGTAGGGTTGCCTACTTGGAGGTAAAAGAAGTCGAAGAGGGAGAAGTCCTCCATGTTAGAGATAACAGAAGGAGGGAGATCAATATTAGGAATGAACAAAGCTGGAGGAGATGGGTCTGGAGGGGTGATGTTGAGAAGCGAAGGATTACTCCTGTTAGGGTAGCTCATGGAGGTATGGCCGATTCTGTTGCATGCAAAGCATTTAAAATCTCCAAGAGAACAGTCTCTCGCCATATGGGATAAATTTCCGCAGAAGAAACACCTGACTTGCTTAGTTTGGGGTGAGGAGGAGGATGAAAGGAGAATTTGTTGGGCTTTCTCTTATATGACATTGTCTTCCAGCCTACTTCCGGGAGCGAGAGGATTCCCTTATCGGAAGAAGGGAGAGGAGGACGACGGGATAAAGGACCCTTGAAGAGGTCCGCAAAAGAGGAGAAAA